AGAAAAATCAAAGCGGCTTGTTCAGACTCAGAAGGCGCTGGGTCTGACACTAATACTAGAATCCAGCTCCCTCATGGAATCCGTATTTTCACATCCAGGTCCAAACTAGCGGTATTATTTGGGCAATTTCTAATTCGCGATATCCTCTGTACTGAAGACGTAAAAGCCCAGGAGAAAAGTCAGTGCCGGCCTTAGAAAAGTACATGAGAGCAGATCCAGGAACTAAATAGAAGAATGGCTAAGTGGGGTTACGAAGGAATGGTTAAGCAAGCAGTAAAGCAGCTTTTCCCTTTTCTTTAAATATTTTTAAATAAACTTTCTACAAAGGAATTTATAAACATTCATTAGTGTTCTTCTGGCGATAACAAGCTTTTCAGATTCCACAAGCTTCAATATAACCACCCGTACTGCAGCCAGAGGAAGTGGTTATTTTCTGATAAAATCGCTACACTCTATTTAAACCAACAGTTCTCAGTAGAGGGCAATTTTGCCATCTCCCATCCCCCACCCAGGGGACTTTGATATTTTCGGTTGTCACAGCTGGGGGATAAAGGTGCCACAAACAACCAGTGGGTAGAGGCCAGGAGGCTGCTAAGCACTCTACAGTTTACAACAAATAATCAACCAGTTCCACATGTCAATCGTGCCAGGGTTGAGAAACCCTGATCTAACATCGGACATCGCCCCAAATAGTTCCTCTTTACAAAACTGAAGAAATACAAAAACGAGCCTAAACTAGCTATGCTTTTTTCTTATATGTGTTTTGGCTTTTTTTTATGTCAAACATTTTCAGGGTGGAGAAGAACTTTAGAGCATATATTTTTTAAACATACATACTCTTAGAGAAACTTGGCCTAATCAACTCGCCGACTCGAAATGCAGGGCAATGGAAGCAGGAATAACAAATAAATCGAATCCACAATTAAGCAATAAAACTCATTTTTCTTATTAGTTATGAGCTTTTTAAGTGGCCACATTATCCCAAGGGAGAGAATATCACACATTTTCATCATTCCGTTGTTAAAATAGCTGTTAAACATCATCGGGACTATAAAAAATGGCATTGGCCTTCTAATGAGCCTTAGCTCCACCTACTTTCACCCTCCTAATCTTAAGTCATTCATTTCTCAAATTAACTTCAGCCTAAGTAAGAGCAGAGCACTGGATCTCATAACTACTGAACACTCCACCCCTGGCACCCGAAAGCCTCATAACTGGGCCCCGACCTACCTTTCCAGCCCTTTCCCTTCATTCCTGGAACACCATCTAGGTCCCTGAGTTACCTCCCTTTCCCTAATCATAATGAACTTGAATGCTTTTTAAAACAGGTGCAAGTGCTTCCATCAGAGCGATCCGGCTTCCCCCTCCACTGAAACATCGCCCGCTCAGGCTGCAGCTGCCTACTGAGTGCCCAATCCAAGGACGTTCAGTCTTTACCTCATAGGACTTCTCTGTGGCAGTGCGGCCATGCTTTTCTTCTTGCGCCAAACCCCGTGCACCGTCTAGACGCTCTCTTCCAATTATCTGCTCACCCCCTCACACCTGCCTCGACATAGCTGCTGGTTATTTCTCACCTGGGCTCTCAAAACAGGTTCGCTGACTATTTCTCCTGGAAAGGACAGAGGCCTTTTTCAAGTATCTCGCGCAGCTACCAGTGTGTGCTCTTTTAAACCCACATCTCAGTACCTCGTTTGCATACTTGAACTATCAATGACTGATGGTCCTCAACCTGGTTGAGGTATAGACTGGTACCTGTCCCTAACCTTTCTTCTCCAGACCTACTTACTACTGATCAGAGTCTCCGGAAGTAGACGGTGGAAGAGGAATCTAATTGCAGCCAGGACTGAAAAATCACTGACATTTACTATAAAATTCAAACTTAGCATATACAGTTCTCAGTCGGCCTTGCCTCACTTAATCTCTTATCTGCTGCTCCCAAACTTCCCAAACCACAGACATGCTGCACTTAGAATTCCCCCCAGTATGGCCAGAAGATCTCATCCTGTGGTTTTGCAAATGCTGGTCCATTCCTGAAAACCCCGGATCTTATCCATTTCCTCCATCTCCATCATCCCCACAATGACGTACAGGTCGCCCAGGCTCTCCTTCTTTGCCTAGCTAACTCTTCCTTCACTGTCATGGCCTCTGTGACGCCCTCTGCTCTCATAGTGAGCTCCTGTGCTCTTTGTCCCTGCACACTCGGCCTCTCGAACGTCCATTTCTAGGTCCTTTACAGTACTTTATATGTAGCAGGTACTTAATAAATATTTAATTTCGCTGGTAATATCCAGCACACACAGCTATTCCTGGAAACCACAGAGAAAGAACATAAATAGGGCGGCATCTCCCACACCCCCTGGACTCTCTTCTTCACAGGTGGACCAGTTCAGTTCACTGTTCCACCTTCAGAAACGGCAAAGCTTTCTTGGACCAACTCAGAAGTCAAGGTCTGTCTCTTCTAACACTCACCCCCTTCCTCCATGGGCCAAGTAGGCTGCGGTTGGCCACAATGAAGGAAAGTCCGTGAGTGCCCCAGCGCCTACCAAACCTTAGAAATGAGAAGCATATTGACACTTTCTTGGCCCATCTTCCCGTGCTGTTCAAGACAAATCTTAAGATAATTTTCAGGAGGATGCCTTTCCTTTCCAAAACCCACTTTGGTCCCCCAAATTAGTGGTTTATTCTTGTCTTTGCGGGGGCAGGGTCAGCGTGCAAATGGTCATATTTACTTAAATTAAACCAAACTTGGGGTCTTTGAAGTCAGCTCATGCCACATGGACCAGAGACACAGAGCAGACAGGTCTATCATTCTTTGCTGCTTCCGGGCCACCTGATAGGGCACCCCACCCCCTAGACTTGGTCAATAAGCCCCAAATTACCCCAACCCAATACAATTTTTTTAATGAACCACTTTTCAGAGACTGTTCTCCAGAAACATATGGAAGTACAATCAAAGGGGATAAACATAAAATCTGACTAGCCATTCTAGGGCTTAACTCGTGTCCTTAGGAGTTCATTTAAAACAAGCTTTTATTACTCTTCAAGGCTATACCTACCATGAATCCTGCAGGCAATTTTGCTTTTTTCTGGCTAATGGGAACTTTACAGCTAAACCATTTCCTCAATCCCAAGAGAAAGAATCAGACCCATGAACTGAGTTTTTCAAGAGTGAGGTGTGCCCCCCTGCCATGACATTTTTTTAATAGCTCTTTTTGTTTTGTTTTTTAATTAGGAATTAAATATATGAATGAAATGAAATAATCGACAATAGAAACATAAATGTTAAAAAGCTATTTTACTTAATTTTTATGGCTTTATGAATAAAATCCCAAATACACAGAACTATCAGATGAGTACAGATGACTTGCAAATTCAGCTCACTTCACCGATAGAGAGGAACGCAAAATCTCCATGGGACTTCAAGTCTATGTGTTTACTGAAGACTGTAAATGGATGAGATTGTGGCTTACAGAACCAGTCTATAACCTCATAGGATTAGAATACATACGATGTCTGGCATTGATATTTAGATAATAACGCAGATTCTATGAGCCATAAATAATTTAGGATTCTATCCAATAAAATATGCTTTTAAACTTTTAATATAATTAATACAGCAAAGGAAACATGCCATGCATTAAGGAAGAAAAATACTTGCGACAACTTTTTTATAGGAGCCACATCACCTGACATTCCTGCATCTGATCTGTTCTTACCATAAACACTTCTAAATGTGGGAAAGCCTCTACCTCTGGGCAAAATCAGCACTGCAGCAGCCGTTCAGCCCTCTGCACCCCATTGTCCAGTGGCCGACACCCATTGCCTCTCGACAGGCAAAGGAGAAAGGACGGAGTTGACCTTGCACTGAGCAAAAATGGAAAAGGAAGAAAAAATGGGAGAGACTATCCTACAAAGTCATAAGACTGGTTTTCTGACGTGGGCAGGAAAATGTCACTGTTCCAAAAGATATTTTCACTAATATTAGGTAAATAATCCTCCCATAGGAGAAAAGGAAAGAAGAGAGAAAATGAAAATCTGCATAATTATTATAGGTGAGTGAGGCACTGTGCTTGGCGTCATCACATGTGACCTGAGGTCATTCTCATCAAATGCTCTCTGGACAGAAGGTGTTTTTTTATTTTTCCCCCCCCACAAATATTTTAAGCCCTAGATTTTAAAATGAGGAAATCAAGATTACAAAAGCTAAATTACTTTGTCCGGGTCACATAGCCACTTTTTTTATCTTCCTCCAAAACCCACGTTCCATCTGTTCTCTGGGTCCTGCCAGGCACCCGGAAGCAGCTCAGAAAGTGGGAGTTTCAAGACTAAAAATGAGTCCCCTGGGGAAGATGATAAGCTGCCTTTTAGTAATACTGTCACATCATGTTCTAATGATGTCTGAAAACCAATATGGCAAAGTAAAATGCAGGTCCTGTGGCCGAAGGGGCAAGACCTGGTTTTGTGGATTTATGCTGAAACCATTCTAAACATCTGCACCTTTGGCTACCCATCATGCTAGGCACAGGGCGTCTGACACTAAGAAGCAGCAAATAATAAGAGATCGATAGATCAAATTCAAACATCTCAGTTTGGATCTATGCATTTTTTTTTTTTCAAAAATAGAAACATGTTTCACAGTTTGGAGTGCATGGTAGCAGCTTGAGAAGATAAAATTTGTTTGAAGACAGCAAAACAACTGACAGCCTCATAATAAATTATGGTGGCTACAGACAAAAACATGAATATGGTGGTTACAGACAAAACATCATGAATTGAACTCTCAGCTTCTCCACAGTAATTTCAAAGACATCAGTGAAAATCTTTTTAAGGAGCATAAAGAAGAAATGAGTTATGTACAACACACATATGAAATGCCATTTTGTGGGATTAATGTATTGCCTGGCACAATTTTTATACTGTGGGAAGCATATTACACAGATGTGATCTTTATGGTTGATTAAACGGGATGTTTTGAACTCACTGCAAAAAAAAGTCAGAAATATTTTACCACCTCCCTTTTTATTTTACTTTTTGTTATAACTATAGATTCACAGGAAAGTACAAAAAATATACAGGGAGATTCCACACACCCTTCACCAGCCTCCCTGATGTTAATACCTTGCCCTACCAAATCACAATATCAAAATCAGGAAGCTGACATGAGTGAGTTCACAGAGCTTATTTTCCATGCACTGGTTGCATGGATCAATAGCTTGTTCCTTTTCGTCGCTAAGCCGTATTCCATAACATGGATGTACCACCGTTTTCGGAAGCATTCATCCATTAAAAGACATCTGCATTACTTCTGGTTTTTTGCCTATTATGATTAAAGGTGCTATGAACATTTGTGTACAGGATTTTGAGTGAACAAAAGTTTTCATTCTGCTCAGTCAAATGCCCAAGAGTGCAAATTCTAGGTTATATGGAAAGAGTATGTTTAGTTCTATAAGAAACTGCCATACTGATTTCCAGAGTGGCTGAACCATTTGACATTTTTACCAGCAATACGTGAGAGATTTTCCACATCTTCACCAGCATTTGGTGTTATCATACTTTAATCTATTTATTTTGATAAGTGAGTAGCGATATTTCACTGTGGTTTTGATTTGCATTTTGCTAATGGCTAAAGATGTTAAATATATTTTCATGTGCCTTACTGCCATCTGCATTTAGTATTTGGTGAATATCTCTTCATATCTTTTTTCCCATTTTCTAATTAGATTTTATTGTCTTCACAAGGTCTTCCACAAAGAAAAAAAAATTTAATGAAGTCTAATTTATCAATTTTTCCTTTTTATGGACAACGCTTTTGGTGTCAAATCTAAAAACTCTTTGCCCAACTCTAGGTCCCAAAGATTTTCTCCTACATTCTTTTAATACATATTTTATAGCTTTATGTTTCACATTTAAATCCATTATCAATTTTGAGTTAATTTTTGTTTAATATATGAGGTTTAGATCACATTATTTTTTTAATTTTGGGTATCTAATTCTTCTAGCACCATATATTGAAAAGATTAGTCTTCCATTGAATTGTCTTGGCCCCTTTATCAAAAATCAGGTGGGCATATGTGTATTTCTGGGTTCTCCATTTTGTTTCATTGATTTATGTATCTGTCTCTCTGCCAAGACCACGCTGTCTTTATTACTGTAGCTCTAAATCTTGACATTGAGTAGGCTGACTCTTCCCACTTTTATTCTTGTTTTGCAAATTTGTTTTAGCTACTCAAGGTCCTTTGCCTCTTTATTGTAGAATAAACTTGTCTATGTCTACAAAATACCCCTAGTGGGTATACCCCTTTTTATACCATTTTTAAAATTACATATATGGGAAAATCAGACTTGATGCACACAGCATCCAGGAGCCTCTTCCACTGCAGCATGAAGCCTGACTGTGTTTACCAAGTCCATAGTTTTAAGAAACATTTTGTCAAAGAGCAGTCCAAGAACAAAGGGCATTCTAGGGGGGTCTGAAAAGTGTAGATTCCTGCAGCCCATCTTTTTCCTCTAATCTGCCACCTCCTTTACCTGGGCTCTTTTCTAGAAAGTTAGAGCTGAGCCTCATTTGCTTGGGATAGTTTTAGAACTGTGCGTCCAGCAGAAAGGGTGTCTGATTAAACAGCTCAACATATCTGCAGAGTCTTCTGGAAGGCTGTGTGCGGGCCCTCCGATCTCATGCCATGAAATCAGAGAGAGATCTTTGTTACATTTGAAACATGGGTAGAGAAGGGCATTGAGGAGAAGAATTCACCCTCTCTACAAACAAGACAAAATGGAAAAAGACCTTAACCTATGGGCAGAAGCTGTAGAAGAGACCACCCAATATCTGACAAGAAAAGCAGTCACCGACCGGCGGGACTGCACCTGGAGAGGAGGGAGGAGAAATCTTCACCAGCGGATGAGCCCCACCGCGCCCAACGCGGAGGTGAAGGACAGGTGCTCATTGGGAGCTCTGTACCATCAACCTCCTGAACGTCCTGAATCAGAGGAACCATGGATGTCTGGGTTTTACTTGTCCATAAAGGCTTATCTTTTTAAATTGTATGTCTTTGGTTAGTGGTGCTTGTTAAAAAGAAGAAAAACACCCAACACTGGACATAGAATCAATGGTGTGCTGCTCATGTTTAATAACCGGCTCTACGAGAGAGAAAAGCCCGGATTTTGTAGAGCGTTCCAATGTCCAAGGTATAAATCCTCCCATTATGTTCAATTTTGAGCTACTGACAAATCACGACACAGAGTTGGGGAGATAAGTACTCCAGCACGCCACTGTATCTGGAACTATTTATTGTAACTTTAGAGGCTATTGGCTCTGTGAAACCTTTTCTCTTCCTAACATACCATGAACATTTGGCTAGAGTTTAGGATATTTTATTGGCATCGAGTCATGCTGTTTATTCTATAGACCTAGATAACATACGTAAGAAGACCAGTAGTCATATCTTTTCAGTTTTGACATTATATCTGGCTTTCCTCCTTCTAAACCTAGTATACACAAACTCATAACTTAACCAGAAGAATATTTATTCCAGTGGCTCCCAAGCCCATTGAACATCAGAACCATCAGGGGCTAATTAAGAATATAGATGCCCAGTGGAAACAACCCAAATGTCCATTGATGAATGAAGAAACAGAATGTGGTGTACACGTACAATGGAATATTATTCAGCCTTAAAAATGAATGAAGTCATGACACATGCTACAACATGAATGAAACTTGAAGGCATCGTGTTAGATGAAATAAGCCTGACACGAAACAATAAATATTGTATGATTCGACTTACACTTGGCAAAGCTCAAGTCTCTACAAGTGGCAGAGTAGGGAGTTGATTCCACATTTAATTTCAAGTCTGATGCCCTTGCACTTCATTCTTCAAATGACTGAAGGCTTTTGTGATTATCCTCCAAGGCACAGAAGTCCCCTCTCTAGGTGCCTGAAAATAGTACCCTGGCGTTCGCACTCAGCACCTCAATGTGCCCTTGCTTCTAGAGGCCTGAAGTTGTTACCTTTGCATTCACAGCCTCATCACGCTGGCCAGTCCCCAGACCACAGTCCCCAGAACCTAAAATATCAAAACCTCAAAGTGCATTGTTAAGTCTGATCGCTCTGCCTGTATGGCTCAAAGGGATGCCCAGACATTCTCAAGGAATTGGAAGGCTGCCTCACATGTTAAACACCAGCTGGGAGATGCCCAAGCATGTCTGCAGATAAACATCTTGCGCCCTCTCACCACCAAGCTACTGGAAACATAATTAGCTGGCACTGAGGTAAATAAGCTCATCTGAGCAAAGGAGACACTCAAGTTCATGGACATACCAATGTACTTTGTTCACCTTCATTATCACATCAGGCCTGTTAAACATACACCTCGCTAGCAGAAGAATGCTCAGGCAAATGCACATTCACCCTCAAGATGAGATACCTCTCCAAAAGGGAACCTGGAGCATGTGTTCTTTAAAAAAAAAAAAAAAAAGGCCAACTTCTGAAGGGACTGAGATTATTCTCTGATCAAAGCCCAATAAGAAGGGTTCTAATTGCAGCATGAGGATCATTTTTAAAATAATAAATAGGTGCATGTACATTCATGCATCTTCATAAGCATACAAGTCAGGCCTGAAGTTGTTACCTTTGCATTCACAGCCTCATCACGCTGGCCAGTCCCCAGACCACAGTCCCCAGAACCTAAAATATCAAAACCTCAAAGTGCATTGTTAAGTCTGATCGCTCTGCCTGTATGGCTCAAAGGGATGCCCAGACATTCTCAAGGAATTGGAAGGCTGCCTCACATGTTAAACACCAGCTGGGAGATGCCCAAGCATGTCTGCAGATAAACATCTTGCGCCCTCTCACCACCAAGCTACTGGAAACATAATTAGCTGGCACTGAGGTAAATAAGCTCATCTGAGCAAAGGAGACACTCAAGTTCATGGACATACCAATGTACTTTGTTCACCTTCATTATCACATCAGGCCTGTTAAACATACACCTCGCTAGCAGAAGAATGCTCAGGCAAATGCACATTCACCCTCAAGATGAGATACCTCTCCAAAAGGGAACCTGGAGCATGTGTTCTTTAAAAAAAAAAAAAAAAGGCCAACTTCTGAAGGGACTGAGATTATTCTCTGATCAAAGCCCAATAAGAAGGGTTCTAATTGCAGCATGAGGATCATTTTTAAAATAATAAATAGGTGCATGTACATTCATGCATCTTCATAAGCATATACAAGTCACACATACAGACATACCTTCGATTTTGCAGTTGCCAAACTTAAGCAGCAAATAAAAGAGAACTTAGACAGATGTGGGGGCTACTGTGTCAACTCATTTCTTTCCTGTAGTTTCTGATGATACACTCCAACTTTCCACTTGGAATACCTAGATTTGTTTTTCTCAGTTTGATCGACTCGGTGAAACAACGCCAATAGAAGCTTCGGAGGAGATAAAAATATTTGGATTGCAAGACATTTTGAGATGATAAGCAGCACCGTGATTTCATCCCCATAGTGAAATATAAAACAGGAAGGGAGAAATCATCTTTGAGAGCAGAGCGGTTTACCCCGCATGGCAGGCAAGTTACAGTCAGTCACTTTTAAGTTCTTTTACAAGTATTAAAAGAATACTTTTAAAATCAGCTACAGAAAACTCAAAGCCAAATTAAAGGTGTTTTATATAATGTTATACAAGGAAGATGATAATCATATCAAAATGACGGTAACTAGGAAATCCGAAGTCATAATTGCATAATAGTATGTGGTAACTTTGCAAAATAGAATGAAAGATCTATTAAAAATTACATTTAGGTTATCGCTATGTCTGTATACTGAAATATACTGCAGCCACTGCCAGGTGAAAATACACTTAGGCCATGGTGATTTTAAGGATATTTTTAACCTCTATGGAATTTCAGAGAAGAAATAGTAAAGTATCAGGAGCTGGAACTGGTTCATAGACAGTCATTTTTCATTCCTATTTATCCACTCTTATTCTCTCCCAACGATTCTCACTCAACAATTTTTTAGACCTTGCAAAATTCCAGAAAGGACTTAAGATGTGTTAAGATGTATATGGCTCAATAGTAATATACTAGATATGCAGTTGACGTCATGAGGCATGTACTGAACTAGGAAGACTAGAATTTGGTCCCAATTTTCCTACCTTTCGCTTACTCCCCTTTTTCCACGAGCACGCATTTCCACTGGTATAACTACTGTGTGCCAAGCACAATGATCGCACTGAGAATACGTTAGACTCTGACCTCACAGAACCTCCAGTTTAGCGGGAGTTACAGAAATCAAAACGCTAAATGACGATTGTGCTGAGTGTGAAGGAGAGATCCTTAATTCTATGGCAAGTAGCGGGGAGGCCAGGAAGTCATGTCTAAAGTGAGAAGTGAAGAAAGGGGAAGAGTCGACTAGATGACAGGGTAGAAAGCAGCCCAAGCAGAGGGAACGGTATGTGCAAAGCCCCATGCAGAAAGTGAGCACAGAATAGTGGGAGACGCAAAAGAAAGTCTCCGACCTGGAGGAGTCCAGAACAAGAAGAGGCTAGAGGAGAAGCAGAAGCCAGATTTCGCAAGGCTCAGGGGCCACCTAATCAGAGGAGAGGAAATGGCCAAGAGGGTGCACTTGCTAGCACTTACTGTGTGCAGCGATCTGTAAGCTATCTTCCAGCTCTAGGCTCCAGGCTCCATGGAAACTTCTACCTGCCATGCATCCCAGAGCTGCTCTGAGCATGGTTGGGAGAACTCTAAGGTGGTCTCGAAGATGTCCACTCCCTGATATACCCACCTTGTGTAATCCTCTGCCCCTGGGCCTGAGCAAGACCTGTGAATGTGATGGACATCACTCCCATGGTTAGGTTATGTCATGTGGCAAAGATGAAGAGATTTTGCAGGTGTAATTAAGATTCTTAATCAATTTGATTTATTAAAGAGGGAAATTGTCCTAAGTGGACCTGACCAAAAAGGTGAGCCCTTAAAAAGCATCTAGAGGTCAAAAAGATGCTCTCCTGCTGGCCCTGAAGAAGCAAGCCATTCTACAGCCACATGGAACTAAATGCTACTAACTACAACATGCCTGAGCTTAGAAGATGACCTTGAGCCTCAGATGAGACCCAGCCCTGGCTGACCTTTTCTGCAGCCTTGTGAGATCCAGCCAAGGCCATGTCCAGAACCTTAACCCTTGGAAACTGTCTAATAATACATGAGTGTTATTTTAGGCCACTAAATTTGCCATAACTCATTATGTACCAATAGAAAATAAATAGACTGGACATCAGTAGCTGAAGGCAGCTCTGTTAGGCTGGTGGCAGCTGGAGAGGACACTCAGGTTCTATTATGGATACCAGGTCCATGTCCGATTACAGCACTTTGCATGTGACTCAAAAGGGAGACCAGGGCTACCGGCTTCCTCTGTCACAATAAGGTACATTCTCAACTTGCCCACATTAGAAAAGTGAAAACTGATGTGCCCTAAGTCAGCAGCAAGTCTTGGAAATCGAATCTTCTAACGTAAAGGCAACCACAAACTCTCCGCTTAAACTGCTTTCCAAAATCCTACAGAATCTAAAAAGCAGAGGCCCCGAATAAGTAAATTGGGACAAATTTGACAGGGAAAGCGGATTTCTGTTTGAAGTTTTCTTACTAGCTTTAATAACAAAAACAGATTTTTTAGAGTATGATTTTAATATTCACAAAATCTTTTCAAACAAATAGTAAGGTCATTTTTATTCAAATGCCAGAATAGCCTGGTTTATATTATGGGAAATCAATCCATGAAATATAACGTTGTCTACATCTTTTTTCAGTTAGAGAAAAGGAGGGCAAAAAAGAAGCCCATCTAATTTCCCATTGTTTTTCTTGTCTTTAAAAACATATTAAAAACCCCCTTTCAAATTTCTGGGAATGGGTAGATAAAATTAGTCATCTTGTTAAAGGCAAAAATAGTTATCGGTTAAAATATATACACAGGCATTCCATTATCTAATAATTTTCATCAAGGAACACATCACAAATTCTCCTGAGCTCAAAGTCGTGGTAAATATAGTAGTGGCCCTGCAGTTGAATAGCTCGATGGTGGGAACATACTTTTCCGAAATGTTTTGACTGATAGATCAGAGTCTCAGCATTAAAACAGTAAGAGTAAAGCTAGAAGAGACTCCTAAGTGGTTGGGACACACACAATATGCAAATGCTGGCTCAGGAAGGATCCCCCAAAATCTGGTAAATGGTTGTCTCCAGGAAAAGTCACAAGATAAATAAGGTCAAGAGTGGCTGGAAGCCTTACTCTTACAATAAATGCTTCTGTATACTTTTAATTGTCTGGATGCATTGTCCATTAAAAGTATTTTATGAAACCAGGCACACGTAATACTTACAAAAAACTAAAGCTCATCTCACTGGGACATTACTGCAGTATAAACAGTCATGGATACTGAAGAGGAAATGAAAATTAAGTCGGGGAGTCCCCCAAAAATGTCAGTTAGTAAGAAAAGTCACTACTTCCTAAGCCAGATGTTGTCTTCATCATCTCCACAAAGCTTCGCTGCCTTTCAATACTTCCTTTGAAACTGCTGGTCTACCCAGGCTATAAAAATCCATGGAGGGAGAAGGGATGCAGCAGACGAGGCTCGTGCAGGCAGAAACTGAAGCCAGTGCTTCTCTCACGCTTCTATCTCCTGAGCCCTCCTAACTCTCCAGGTCTCTCCTCCCTCCTTCTGATCTCCCAGGCTGGTGGTGACGGCAGGAAGAAGAATTAGCCTTTGGAATCTGAGTCCTGCAACTTGACGCTACTGTGTGATCTTGAAAAACATCACTTTACCTCCCAGAGCATCTGTGTTTCCCCATCTGTGGAATCAGAATAACAGCTACCACCACTTCAGGGGCGAATACAACAATACCTATGAACACCTAAAGACCGGGATTTGTCTATTTCAAAATAGTCTCTAAATCTAGTTCACAGCATAATTCGGATGACTGAGAGAGCATTAACCTTAGGGCAGGTCCCTCCTTTATTGGGATGTGAAACCTGTGGCAAACTGCATCCAGGACATCATATATGATGACTACCAATGAATTTGGCTGTGACTAAAAGAAAGGAAAACAGAAGTTGAAGAAAGAGTCACTCTCTTGTGTGGGCAGCAGACGATGCACGGTGATAATTGCCAAAAGAAGCTGGTTAAAAACAAACAGATTGACACATACATGGCTAACTCAGCCTTTCCATCTTAAAACATTTAAACAATAAGACAATTTATTCTATCAACAAAGAGAGTGTGATTGGGGTTTTTTTTTAACATTTTTTTTTTTTAGTGCTCAGTCCTCTATATGGTAAGTATGGTAAGTGGCTGACCTACCTCCTTCTCCCCGCCACCTGCCTTCAAAACAGCCACACAGCAATATTTTGAAAGGAACGGTGTCTTCCAGTTCATTCTCAAGGCAACACTGAGAGGAAGCCCCTTATTTCATGACCTTGAACTGCATGAAAGGCAAGCTATAATTCATAGGGCTCGACTTTGTACACCATTATTCGGAGTTCCCTTTTACTTTGGCCAGTACTTGGTCTGTATACATAAGCCCAATCCATTGAAATCCTCCATGTGTGCTTTACTCTCCAATTGTTATTTATCGGAACATAGGATGGCTGTCCTGATTTGGGAAACCAGTGTGGAAATATTTATATTTTGCTTCTTTCCTTTCATTTTCTGAGACATCATAAGATATCTTTAAAATCAAATACAGAAGTGAAATTCTTTAAAATGTAACCCGTGGAATTACAACCATTTGAAAAACAAGATATAGCACAGAGAAATAAAAAACAAGATTGTGGAAAAAGCCCACTTGACAAATGAAAGACTATTTTCTTATATCTTTCATCAAGGACAATTAATATCTTATGTTCTATATGAAGGAAGAGGATGGAATTTGACCTATGTTTGAAATACATCTTATTTGTTTGTGATCCACTAATAAGAAACATACTGAGATAACAAATACATTATTGTTCATGAAAGAACCCCAAATTAAAGGGTGATTCTCAGTCCAAGTAAATACAGAAAAGCTGCCAAAACCATCTGTTTGACTCTCAATGATCTCATTTGTTTTCATCAAACGATATTTAGTTTTTTCAAATTAGATTAATCTTTTTACATAGTTGTTAGGCAGTCGGGTAAAAATTTATAACCATTATTAGCATAAAATAATCTGAAAAGTACACTAAAACATTCCTTGAGATGAATTAGTTATAATTTACTTACTTTTTTTTTTTAAAGAATATTCTGGCTTCATAAAAGTCAAGAACAATTGGTAATCAATGCCATCCCATAAATACCTGGCAGGTGGATTAGCAAATGCTGTTGCATGAATGAATGAATGAATCATATGAGTAATCTGATTGAAGCAAAGAGGAACACAGATGCACACACACACATACACACACACACACCTTAAGAATCCTTTTGAAAATATGAGTTCTCGTATTTCTGTCCTCAAGCAGATTTACTCTAGTGCTTCCTTTTCAATATCAATGTCTCTTTCAGAGGAAAATAAGTAGAAGTCTAGATAGGATTCTGTCACCTTTTCATCTGACCGATCTCCAAACAGTCAACAACTTACAAGCAAAAACTTATTCCAGATTTGTCTGAATTCAATTGATCTGGAGGGAAGCCCAGGAACTGGTATTTTAACAAAGTCCCTAGGTGATGGTGAGTGGCAGGCAGTGTGCATGCCTTTGTGTGCATTGCCATTTCCACTGAGGAGCCTTCCCTGGCCAGCATCGCCCTTTTTGGAAGTGATTAATTCCTTCCTATTGAGGAAAATGTGGTACTTCTTCCAGAAAGCCTTTCCCTGCACACTCCTGGCCCGCGAGCTGTCCTCTGTCCCTTCCCTCCAAATTCGGCATACCTCCCCTGGAGAACCTCCCCCATGGATGCTATTTCATTGTCCCTGCCCTGAGCAGAGCAATCTCTTGAGGGCGTAGACACCCTTTTGGTTTATCTTTAGGTGGCTAACTTCTTGGCAAATGTATGATGTAACTTCTTTGGGCCCTCAGTTTCCTCATATGTGAAATGAGAAAGACAGAAATTGCCTGCTGCTGTGAGGAGTAAGTGATGAGCATAAACTGACATCGTGGGAAAACGAGTCCCTGTGGGACTGTATGAAGATAATAGGTAAGAGTAAAGGTCTTAAAATCAACCAAAAAATTCACACCTCGCAATCCACAAGGCTTCTACAACACTAAACAGAAAGTGACTAAGAGCCTGGCCTCAAATGAACAATGAGAATGACTTGAAAAAAAACCATAAAGAATGGCCATCGTCATAAAGCCCAAGATGCAATAAATATAAACTTCTGTAAGGAATGAAATTAGGTTCCATATAGTTGTAAATAAACTGCGGACACTAGTTACAGAAGTAGCCCAAATGCATGGTAGCTCACATAGGATAAAATATAAACACAAACATAGCATCATATGGGAATTTTAATTGGCTAAAATTTCTTAGTAGACTATCCAAGAAAGAACAGGTTTATAATGTGATTTCTCTCCTTGCTTCCTCCACATTGAAAGTAACAAAACAAACAAAAGGTCATAAAGCCAGAGAGCCTTTGAAGTCTTCAGTTGTGGAGAGAGTTTGATAATTATGATGATGAAGATGATGCTAATGGTATTTCTCATTGAAAAGTCATTCTTGGATAGAAGAGGCAAGTAAAATATCCCCCCTTCCTTAATCTAGCCTATATTCTGAATTTAATTGATTTTTCCCCTTTATTGTTTAAATGCTGCAGTTTGATAATACATTAATGTAGTAGTTATCTAACTAAAGGTAAAATTAAAAAGAATTATGCTAGAGAAAGGAAGGAAGAAGAGAAGTTAGAAAGGAAAAAGCTAAGTCCCAACTTAGTTTGACTTATGATGGGAGGTGGCTAGCCAGTTCTTGGGGCTCAAGTCTCCTCACCCCCATTTATGTATACAACAATAACTGGG